GTTTTCTTCTTGCTTTTGGGTCAGATGATTGGTAAGTGATCGATCCTGTTACTTTTTGAGGACGCGCGCGAGAAAAGGAGAAGAGGTATATATGCGAAGAGTGGCGCGATCGAGGCTTTGCAGGAAAAAGAAACAAGAAGGAGGAAAGGCTCACGGCGAGCTGCGGATCCAATCCACGACTACCCCGATGCGTCCGACGAATGAAGTAACGAGTGGGATGTAAGGAGAGGGAGAAGAAAAAAAAATACCCTCGGGCGGGATAAAGTACCGCGCAAACGGTGAATGAAAAATGGTAACGAACCGGGCCTCTTTTCTTTTTTCATCTGCCCGCTTTCTTCCCGTTCTTTGTATTACTACAGCGATTTTTATGATTCCCCTTTTCACACTCTTGTTACTTCGTTTACTCGGCAATGGAAATTTTCTCATTGAGAGAACGTACTAATTTTTTTGTTTTTCATCTTTGCTTGGGTATAAGCGTCCGAGGACTATGAAGGCTTGCTTCTGGTACCTTTTTAGTTATTGGTTTATCTCGATGATTTGAATGATACCACTTTTGTTCCTTTGAACTTTGGTCTCTCTACTCCTCTCTGTTGGACTAGAGATGGTGCCTGGATGATGGTGGTGATGATGATGATGACACTGTGCGCGTTGGTAATTCTGTTGCAAATGTGTGTGAGGTTATGGCGAATGTAGAGACTACGGTGGGGAATTTTGAGTCCTGGATTGAGTTCGGGATGGAGGTGCATCCTCATCTAGACTTTGGAGATTGGGTGAGAGCGCGTGAAGCAGATTGCATAGGCTGTTACTACGCCCTGCCGTATCAATTACACTGCATTATTCTTGTATGAAGCAGAACACCAAGCCGTGGACTTGGCTGTCCATAAGGGGTGTTAACTTAGTATCTAACAATAGCTTCAATAGAATTAGGACAAAAGCGAATTCAGATGGAATAGAGCAAGAGGAATCCGTCATATCCAAGCCCAGTATGGATCATGATGGAAATTGGGCATCACTTCACGTGATGCAGACTGAAACGAAAGACTTGGTGAGCGATCGATAAAGCATCTAAAAGAAAACCGAGGACTTGAAAACGAGAGTGAGCTATGCAAGCCGTGCCGCCACCCAACGCGCCCGTATTTACAGTGTATATACGTCTTCCAGAGACATTCCAAATATGCATCATCGTGAGCTCATGCCGGCGGCGTATCATGAAATCGTGCAGATGATCTTGCCCTTGGTCTTGTTGGACTCGAGCAGCTTGTGCGCGTCGACAATCTGCTCGAAGGGGAAGACCTTTTCGACAAAGACCTTGAAGGTTCCGTCCTTGAACTTGGGCAGCGCATGCTCGACGAGCTGGTCGCGCAGCTTGCCCTGGTACTCCTCGTCGCGGCTACGCAGGGTGCTGCCCTCGAAGCGAACGCGCTTGCGGATAAAGGCGCCGATGTCGACGTTTTTGCCCTCGAGCTTGGTGCCGCTCATGACGCCGAGCTGGACGATGCGGCCATCGCGGGCGGCAGCATCCAGGTTGCCCTGGAAGTAGCCGGCGCCGACGAAGTCGACGATGATGTCGACGCCCTTGCCGTCGGTGGCCTTGAGCAGCTCCTCGGACCAGTTCTCCTTGGTGGGGTTGAAGGCCTTGGTGGCGCCGAGCTGGTTGACGATGAAGTCGCACTTTTCGTCTTGGCGGGCGGTGGCGTAGACGGCGGAGGCGCTGTCGGCGAGGGCCAGCTGGATGCCGGAGATGCTGACGCTACTGGCGCCAGCGTGCCACAGAATGCTCATGCCGGGCTTGAACCCGCCAACCACGTACATGGCCTGCAGCGCCGTGATCCACGTCTCGGGCAGGCCCGCGCATTGCTCCCACGACAGCTCGTCGGGTTTGTGTACCAGCATGTGGGTGGAGACGACAATGTACTCGGCGTAAGCGCCGCCGTAGGCCAGGCCGAAGACGGCGTCGCCGAGCTTGAAGCCCTTCTCGTGCTCGCTGCTCCCGAAGGCCTCGATGACGCCGCTGAACTCGACGCCCAGCGTCTTGGGAGCCTGGGGCGGCACGGGGTACAAGCCCTCGCGCTGCAGCAGATCCATGCGATTTAAGCCGAAGGCCTTGACACGGACGAGCGCTTCTGCAGCTTTCGGGACGGGCTTCGGGAAGTCATTGTCGATGAAGAGGGCGTCGGCCGGGCCGGTATCGTTCTTGATGTCTGCAGCAGGGCTGGGTTAGCGATGCAGAGGGCGGGTGAGGCGGGTGAGGCGGCGGCGGCGGCGGCGTAGGCGTACCAATTGCTCGCATAGCTTCCGGCAGCGCTGGGGGATCTGGGCGGCGAAGCTTCTTTTTTCCTCGGAGAACGGCACCGGGGCGTAGGTCTTCTGGAGGCGCATGGGCACGGCGGGGGGCACGGGAGCAGACAACAGATATAGTGGGTGCGGGATGATGTAAAGGGACCTGCGAGCGGTGGGCTGCATTTCTAAGCCTGGAGGGAGGCAGGCGGGGCCCACACACATGCGCCCTGAGATCGCGCAGGGGTCATCCTCGGCCGCGTGCGCCACGCCTCCTCCACCCGTCGTGCCGTCCACCAACACCATCGCCCACCCATCTCCACCTTCCTGCACCTTCCGTACCCTCCCGCCGAGTCCCCGACGCTGCCGAGCCATGGACCTGCCCGCCTACGTGATCCGCATGCGTGCCACCGCTCTCCCGCCAGCCATGCGAAGGACACGCCGTCTCGCCGTCTCGCCCTTCTGCGCGCGTCTGCGGCCGCCGGTCGCAGCTGTCCGGCCTCCATCCAGCAGCCTAACCTCTCCAGTCCCGCTGACATAACAGACATCTCAGCTGCGCTACCATCTTGCGTAAGCGCTTGGTGGTGTTAGCCTGCTGCAACCCCTCATTCTCGTCCCACTGGTCAATCTTCGGGTGACTACTGCTCTGGCTGGCCACTACCACCTCTCCAGTAGTAGTCTGACAGCTGGATGTTCAAGTGCTGCCCACGTCCCTACTGTCGCGATCAGCACACCGCGCATAGCTTGCAGCGGAGGACACTTACTTTGTTGCTCTTCGTCCCCGGAGATCCTGGCATCAGACTGTCCCCATGCCATTGAAAAGGCGGCGGGGTGCTTGGCGGAGACAGGCCAATGGTCTGCTCGTCTTCCTGCACTTCCGTGGCGTGGACACCAGAATGTTGTAACTGGTCGATGTGGAGGTCTCCCTCGAGGTAGTCGCTGAGGCCGACGGGAGCAAGTGCCCCAGACTTGTCGGATATCTCCCGTCGAACATCTTGGATCCTCATCTCTTTCGAAGGTCCTGATCCTGATGATGTTGCTGGCGGGTCTTCAGCCAAATCCCCGGCTTGCGAGTCTTCAACTTCTTCCCGCCACACAAACGCCTTCTCTCCACCGCCGCCTATTCTCTGCGCACCGTTGGGTTCCTCCATCCCCTTCCGGGCCCCATTCGCTCCCTGGTCAGAATCATTCGTTTTCCGTCTGCGTTTCTCGGGTGGGCTCTGTTCTGGCGACGGACGCCTCTTATGGTCTCCCTCAGGCTTGCTGTCTTCGCTCTCTTGTGCTTTGGTCTGCGCCATTCCTGTGTGTCTTTGCTTCGAGATCAGCTACAACATGAGTCGTTCTCAGAAGATTGAGCAGCAGTGACATGCCGTTTGCTAGCGCGTGTCACCTTTAATAGTATCTTCCAACGACGGATCGCTGGCGCCGGAATCTCGGTACCACGGTATTCTGGGAGTCAGGAATGGGGACGGTGAGGTTCAGCAATGGCTTCCCACGGAGCCTTATAACCTTGGCATCTGTCGACTTCGAGTCCGCCTATCGCTGCTTTTTTACTTGCAGAAGGAAAGACCGACAAACACACGGCGAGAAAGTGCATCCAGATGGGTTTTCACACCCAAAAAAGTTCTTCAGAATAACCAAAACCCATGTTCTGGTTGAGACCCCCTATCGTATCTTAGTCTGGTCTACCATGGTCTAACTCGTAACGCCATGACGTTCACCGCACCTGAGGATATCTGAAACCCGGCCAACGGCCAAATTAATACGTTCACGAGTGTAGGTAGGACTTTGAGCTACGCGCTTGCTTTTCTAGGCGGACGCCGCTCGAGCCTTCCTCATACTGTTACCTCCACAACGAGTGGGCGCCATCGTAGTCCGTGTTTTCAAAAGTCACGAGGAAAGAAAGGACTCCATAGAACATGCGAAGGTAGAACTTGTGGTTTGATCATGAAATTATTAACAAATATATAAGGTATCCGCGCGTATCCACCCCTTCTCTCATTCCGTCGAGCAGTACACCTTCCCTTTGCAACCACATGGACGCTCACAACGCAGCCAGAGCGAGATTGCTCTCGAAATTAGCATCCTTAAACGGCACATTCGCGCTCCCGAAATCCGTATCCGCCAAGGCCGTCCGGGCGGCATCCGTCAGGCTCTCGTAGGCGATCAGCGGTTGCAGGCCACCGACGACGCTCGTGAAGCCGAGCTGGTGGTTGACGGGCCAGTCGCTGTAGTACCTGATGAGCGGGCTGGTGCCGCTGAGGTTGGGGGTCGTGGTGGTGGCGAAGTCGCCGTGTGCCGAGGCGGCGACGCCCTGCAGCGTGGCCGACGTCGACTCGTCCGAGAGCCAGACGACGATACCCTCCCAGTCGTGCCGGTGGCCGAGGCCGGACGACGGCGAGTCCTTGGGCATGTACCACGCGTACATGATGGCGAAGGCGTTGTTGTACGTCGTCGCCCGCGCGTAGACTTGGCCGGTGCTGCTGTCGCAGTCGCCCGAGGAGTCGCCCGTGGTAGCGAGGCCGCCGCTGTCGGGGTGTGTCAGCCGTTCTGCTTCTTTCTTTTGCCGCTCATGTGGCAATGCTTTGCTCTCTCTCTCTCTCTCTCCCCACCCCTCCATCCGAGTTGTTGGTATATAAACGAAAATGCCGGACTCACCTCGTGTTGCCTGCGGCATCCACAGCCGGAAACGGCACGCACCCGTTCACCACCTTGAGGTGCGGCTTGTACTTGAGGTACAGCTCGCCCAGCGTGCCGCTCGGGACGGTTTCGGCGAAGCCGACGACGGCATCGTGGGCGATGACGGCGCGCTTCTCGACGGCGGCAGCGTTGACCGGCGCGCCCGAGACGACGCTCGCGCAGCTCACCGCCGAGAGGGCGGTCCAGAAGAGAGACGAGGACCACATGGTTCTTGTGGAAAAGCAGGCCTGAGTGATTGGCTGGGCGGGACCGAGCGTGTGGGACAGCGGACGACGATGGGGTGACGGGGGAGCAGGACAGACACCACAGAGCGGGAACGATCTACAGAGTGTGCGATGCTCAGCTTTTTATACGCCCTCCATGGCCCCGCAGTACCTAGTCGAATAGCAGAGTTATATCCGTACACATACGCGAAGCCCGGACGCTGCAGCCGCTCACACACCCGCGTTAATCGCATTCTGCATGCGTGACGGTCGCATGGTTCCTGGCAATCTCTTGCCCTTCTCCGCCTAACCCTCCCGCCCGCCTTTCCCCTCCGAGCGCGTCCGCCGAGCCCCCGCTACTCATGGCCGGCAATTGTGGCTTGTCCCTTAAGCGAAAGGGCTTGGGGGGGCTGCCCTTTACGCAGTATAGTACTAGCACGGCGGTAGTACGTGGCTCGCACGACGATCATCATTGGCTCGAACCCGCCGCGGCTTCGGCGTTAAACTATTGGCCCTGGTCAATGCACAACCGGCAACGGGGAGAGAAAATAGCAACCAGACTGCCAAACTGCCGGCGAAGCCGGCTTTTTTTGCACGGCGGCGGAGACGGGGGCTCTCTGATCTACCTATGGGCCGGCCGTTCGAGGACGGATGGGTGCGTGGATGGAGAAATCACTTCCCGCCCCTTGTCCCCGTTTGGTCTGTCGTATGCCTTGACCTTCCTTTTGCGGTTAAATCCCGGCAGCAGGTCGACCTCGTTGGCGTCGTCGTAAGCGCCCGGAATATCGGGCGAGTGTTGCTGCCCACACATAAGTAGTGTGTGCTTTGAAGCCACGTGCCGATCCGTCCGTTGACAGCTTTGTCCTTTCCCTTTTGACCCCCTCCTCAATTACCATTCTGGTGGTGGGGCCGTTTTGGGCTTTCGCAAATTCCTCCATGCGAGCAGGTCGTGGAGACTTCAGCATGACGGGATCTATGAGATGATAAGTGTATTGGGAAGCTACCTATCAGCCAAGGATACGCTCCACCTGACGCTGTCCACCCTCCCGTTGTTCAAGGGCAGACAAATCCAACAACTTCTGTTTACCAATTTTTTTTCTTCTTTTTTTGTTTGTTTGTCAACCGATAACGAAATCGACGCGACATCCGCAACGACTCCAAGCAACCCCATAACGATAGGACCCCTTCCATTTCCTCTCCCCCCCTCAAACCCAGAAGCAGCAGCTCTGCGGCAATTGATGGAAAACGTAGCTGCGCCTGGATCTACTGTGTCCTCGGCCCATCACTACCATCCTCGTCTTCGTCGTCATCACTGACCCGAGCATTGGATTTGTATGAGGACTCGCCGCGCATGTGACCGCGCCAGTCGAGCGGGCCAGGACTATACACCACCGACTTAAGCGACGTCCTGCCAGGCCTGCCTTCATAGCGCCAGTGGCTGTCCAGCTCTTCGCCGTGGTTGATCTCGAAGTAGTCCTTGAGGGCCTGCAGCAGCTGGGGCAGGCTTTGATGCCGGGGAACCTGATCCTTCATGCTCAGGAAAGTCATCTTGGCTTGATGGGCCCACTTGAGCTTCACCAGCTCGTGGTGCGCAACGCTGTTCCAGATGATTCGCTCCTCGTTGGTCAGGCCAAGATCAATCATCGCGCGGACGATGTTGTACTTGTCGCCAGGCAGCATCTGCTCTGCCCACTTCTGACCGTTCTCGACACGCCAATGATTGGCCTCAGTGAAGAAGGTTTCCTTCGGATCCTGGCTGTACGAATGCTCCAAAGCCTTCCACTTCGACATGATCTGCAGGCGACTCCGCTTCTTACCCATCTTCTCGCTAACGAGATCCCAATTGATGACCACGGAGCCATCCGTAGCACTCGAGCCTCGGCGCTTCTCTGTGGCGCGTTTCTGCTTGCTCTCGCGCGGGTGCTTTTCCTCAAATGCAGCGCGCAACGCATCCATGCAGTCGGGCATCTTACGAACAAGGTTACGTATCTCATCAGGTCTCCAGATGTCCCTCCGCTCGGTTGACTGCAGCTCCTCACGCCAGTAGTTCTTCTTGTCTTCGGGAAGCCTCTCGAGCAGGGTGTTGAGACAGTCCTGAACAACATTGAGAAGCTCGTTCACTTCACTGTCGTGCCATCTCTTGCTCGCCATGGTCTCGCTGCAAGAAAGGTAATTCCGCCACCTGTCCCTGCAGTCATCCGCGAAACGTCCGACCGCCTCGCCGATCTTCGTCCACTGACCCGGCGTCGCTGCATAAGCCGTCCTCAGCATCTGGTCCTCTTCGGGATCCCACTTGCCACGCTTGTCAAAGTTGTGCCATTTGCGACGGACGAATTTGATGATCGTCTCGCGCGACCAGCGGTTCGGAAGACAAGGGCAGATCTCGTCCCAGAACTCCTTGCAAGACTTGCCGTGCACTTCGTTGAAGACGCCAGCTTGAACAATGTCATTAACCTGGAATTGATTAAGATTATTGTACTCGCGGTACGCTTCGATCGCACGAGTCAGCGTCTCGACTTCCTTTTTGGTGTATGGTCCAGAAGACGGGAATTCTTCGGTTCCTTGGGGTCTCGAGCCTTTCGTGCCTGGGGCAGAGGCTCCACTCTTCGTGGCACCGTCTTTTTGAGTGGCATTCTTGCGTTTCTTGGACTTTGGTTCAGCCGCATCGGGTTGCTGAGCAGCTTGCTCGGTAGCAGCCTCCTCAGCCTGGCGCTTGCGTTTCTGCTTCTTCTTCTGGTGATCAATGTAGGCTTTCTCGCCAGTCACCTCAGTTCCATGGCCGTCTCCACTAATGCCATTTGTTGCGCGAGCAACCTGCGACTCGATGAGCGCATCCGCCGCCGCAATCCCCTGGGTCGCCGGCGTGGCAGTGTCGTCTTGGGACTTCTTTGACTTCTTGGATTTCTTGCGATGTGACGTCTCTTCTGTTGCGTCTGAAGCGGGGAGCTCGGCTGGTGGCTGCTGCTGGGTAGGTGGCAGTAGAGCTGGGTCGATGACAGAGAGCTCGACTGTGGTCATGCTAGGCTGAGGCGCAACCTCCCGATTAGCACTTGCAGCAGGAGCATCTTGCTGAGCCTTCCTCGATTTCTTCTGTTTCTTCTCAGAGTCTTTCGGAACTTTGCTGTCAGCGTTGCTAGAACGTTTGTCCTCCACAGGCGCAGGCTGAGCAGGTGCCTTTTCTGCTTTTTGGTTTTTAGCTGCTTCGACAGCGTCCGCCTTTCTTTTACTCTTCCTGATGGGAAGATTATCCTGCTCCCGAGCAGCAGGAGGATTGAACGTCGGGATAGGAATGGGCGTGTTCTTGACCTGAGCCGGCGCGGCAGCAGCGGTAGCGGATCTTGTTGACTTCTTCTGCTTCTTGTGAGAAGGGTCCTCGGCATTTTGGCCACTTTCAGTCGACGCGGGGTCTGTTTGGGCTACAGTTGCAGGTTGGGACTTGTCCGTGATGGCAGGTGCCGCAGCATCCTCGGATTTCCTCTTGCGTTTCTTCTTCGCCGCCTTCTCCACCCTAGCAGGCTCCGCAGTGGTAGTGTCTACGATGTTGTCGGTGGTTGCGGGCGTGTCGGCGGGCGCAGAATTCTGCGTGGCGTTCATGTCCTTCCTCTTCCTTCGAGATTCCCGGGGCGGCTGCTCTCCTGCCTGGGCTGTGGCACTCTCGATGGCTCCAATGCTATCCCTCCGATCTGCAACCGCAGCACTATCCACGCTCGGGACTTCAGCATCAGGTTGCGGAGCGGAGGTTTCTTGCTTATCGGTGTGGACCTCGGATGCCGCATCTCGACTCTTGCGCTTCTTGCTTTTCTTGCTCTTCTTTTCCTTGCCTTCCTTCTTGGATGCAGGAACGGCGGCGGTTTGAATTTCGGAAACCAGCTGGGAGGAGGCAGCGACGTCGTCTTCTGTGCGCTGGTGTTAGCACGGTCTGTATCAAAAATCGTCGGTGGCACCTGCGACGCGTCGCGAAAAGTGCGCGGTGGGTGGGCAAGCTCATACCGCTCCTGGTGCTGGAAGGATCTTGCGGCCTCGAGGGCTGCGAAGCATCAGGCGCCTCGTCCTGAACCTGTGAGGATGTGTTTCCCATTATCGCGGTCGATGGCGAAGCTTGAAGCTTCGCGTGCGGTCGGATGGCAGGCGTAGTGTCGCCAGGTAGGATGTGCGTGGACGACAGTCGGATGGAAGATTTGGCGTTAGGAAGTGGGCGCTAGTGTGTCTTGGCACGGCGATCATCCGCCTTTGGTCAACCGAATATATCGTGGCCGCTCGTAAACACCAAATCCGCTCCAGAATAAGCTCCAGTCCTGTGGAACTACGTATTGGCGGCCAGAGAATACGTTGATGTGGTCTACACCGTCTCTCGCAGTTTTCAAATCGTTCGCTGCATTTGTATCTTCTCTTCTGCCCCTCCTGCCATTTGTTCTGGGTCCATGCATGCTCTGTACCAGCTATTCTGCCACTCTGATCTGGAGACGATTGCAAACTGACCAAATATCAGGAACTATGTGGATTGGGCTCGGCTATGTTCACCAAGAACCTGGATGTCATGGCGCAGTGGGAATGCGTCTGGGATGGTGGAGAGTGCTGGGATTGGACTTGATGGTGGCGCTAGGTCGTAGACCGAGCCACACTTCTACCGTCACAGACGTGACACAGCGCGCACGAGAGCGTAACAAAGACTTGACGCTTCTGGATACCGGCTGGCTGCATGGGCACAGTTGAACGCACAAAAATACATTGTGTCCAAGCAAAGTGCTTACAGGAGTTTTAGAAGACGACAGAGGGCTCTGAAAGGTTTCGTGGTGCAATGCCATGGCGCTCGACCTCCTTCAGCTCTGCGCCAAAGTCCGTCTTCCCCCTTAAGCCTACTGTCTGCATCTCATCCTGAGGTTGAGCAGGACGAACGCATCTCGCGCCCGCTTGTAGGGCGCTGTTCATGTGTATGCTTGTCGCGGCCCGCTATGCAGCTTCTACAACGGCTGCATTTGATTTTCCGGGGTTGTATCCGCGCGCAAGGGGCACGGCAGGCATCCGGCTGTGGAGCTGGCGGGCGAGGAGTGGACTTCAGACCCTGGTGGGGGAGGCGCGAATCACAAGGGCTAGCAGCCCAAAATGTGGCCCGAGCTCCAGGGTGGGCTGTGACGTTCGCAGTGGCAGATCCCCTTTCGTGTACGTCTTCACCTCCGAACAAAACCACTCTCCTGTTCCAATCCCTCCTCGAGAACCGCCGCACCTTGCTCTGGCATACGTCGCCATCTCGCAACTCTCAGCACGGCGCTGCCACATTGGGACCTCTTCCTCCCACCGGACCGCCCCAGCTGACCGTAAATACTGCTGCCTCGACTTTTCGTAAACGTGGCAACACACCACCCACGCATATAAAGGCCACCCACCTTGCCCGAGAACAAGCCAGCGGAGCTCTTTCCAACCATGTTTAACCGCGGCAACCTCCCGTTTGGGAGCAGACCTGACGCTGGAGCACCGAGGAGAGATGGATACGGTCCGCCCCCCGGTCAGCAGCAGCCGCCCCCCGGTTACGACCCGCGCCAGGGCGGTGGCTACCCTCCAGCGCAGCAAGTTCCTTCTCGAAGGCCAGCCCCCGGCGCGGCTCCTGGAGGCGGCGGGGGTCGCCAGATGCAGCTGAAGCCCGTGAAGAGCCCTGGCGGCAACGCGTACGCTTTCGGAAACGTGTAAGTCCAATGCTCTGCAATCATTGTCTACAGTGCAGGCCTGACGAAACTTTAGTGTCGCTGTTTCGCCCGCCGACTTCCCGCCCTCCCGCGACGGTCACGATATTTACATTATGGTCAACGGGAATCATGTGCTTTCCGCTCGGCCGACTGAGACCTGCAGGCCAGGTGAGATTGGCCTGACGGACAGGCAACGTACATGGGCCGGCGTCAGCCTTGGTCCCCACGATGTTGTCATGGTTCAGAGCTACGACCACTTCGGCGAAGGCGGTGGCGCCTACTTGGCATCCGTGGACGTAGAGGTTGGTTTTGCTGGGCGGAAGACTACGGAGGTGCCCTACGACCAGGACGAACTTGGTCAATTTTTCGCGAGGAACTTTGAGAACCAGATTTTGGCACCCGGCCAGCAGCTCCTTATGGACCACAAGAACATCCCTCTCACCCTTATTATCCGTGCGGTCCGCCTCGCAGATCTGTCAATGGAGAAGGCGAACACCGATACGCCACCTGTCGCGGATCCTCGTGCTCGTGGTATCTTGACCCGCCAGACTCAGGTCGATTTCTTCAAGAGCGCACAGTCCGAGCTCAAGCTAAAGGGCTCCTCTCGCAGGCCGGCAGCCAACTCCATCGTCCAGCCTGGCTTCAAGTTCGAGGACATGGGAATTGGCGGTCTGGACGAAGAGTTCAGCGCCATTTTCCGGAGAGCCTTCGCTTCCCGTATTTTCCCGCCCGGCCTCGTAGACAAGCTCGGTATTCAGCACATTCGTGGTATTCTGTTGCACGGTCCGCCCGGTACTGGAAAGACGTTGATTGCGCGTCAGATCGGCAAAATGCTCAACGCTAAGGAGCCGAAAATCATCAACGGCCCCGAGGTATTGAACAAGTTTGTTGGTCAGTCGGAAGAGAACATTCGTAAGCTGTTCGCCGACGCAGAAAAGGAGCAGAAGGAGAAGGGTGATGAGAGTGATCTCCACATCATCATCTTTGATGAATTGGACGCTGTCTGCAAGCAGAGAGGCAGTGGAGCCGGCGGTGGTACCGGTGTTGGCGACAGCGTTGTCAACCAGCTACTATCGAAGCTTGACGGTGTTGAACAGCTGAACAACATCCTTCTTATCGGTATGACTAACCGCATGGACATGATTGATGAGGCCCTTCTGCGTCCCGGACGTCTCGAGCTGCACATGGAGATTTCGTTGCCTGATGAACACGGTCGCCAGCAGATTCTCAACATCCACACGTCCAAGATGCGCAACAACGGCGTCCTGGAAGATGATGTCGATGTTGCTGAACTCGCAAAGCTGACGAAGAACTACTCTGGTGCCGAAATTACCGGTCTGGTGAAGGCGGCGTCGTCGTTCGCCTTCAGCAGGCACATCAAGGTGGGAACGATGGCTTCCATCTCGGATGACGTTGTCAACATGAAGGTCAAGCGCGTGGACTTCCTTGCTGCGCTGGACGAGGTGCGCCCCCTGTTCGGCGTCGCCGAGGAAGAGCTTTCGAAATGCATCAGGGGCGGCATCATCCACTTCTCGTCGACGATCAACTCTATTTTGGACGAGGGCAATCTCTACATCAATCAAGTGCGGAAAGGCGGATCGCCGCTGCTGTCTGTTGTGCTCCATGGGCCGCCCGGAAGTGGCAAGACGGCACTGGCGGCGGAATTGGCCATGAAGTCGGAATTCCCCTTCATCAAACTAATTAGTCCCGAGGACATGGTTGGATACGGCGAGATGCAGAAGGTGCAGCAGCTGGACAAGACGTTCCGAGATGCTTACAAGAGCCCGCTGAGCGTGGTGGTCATCGACAACATCGAGCTGCTCGTCGATTGGGTGCCGATCGGACCGCGTTTCAGCAACACGGTTCTCGTGGCCCTGAAGGTGCTGCTCGGAAAGCAGCCACCAAAGGTACGTAACCCCGCGGGATTTTCTCAGGTGTGTATTGCTGACGGCAGGATGATAGGGCCGGCGGCTGCTCATTCTCGCCACGACGACCGAGCGGTCGGTACTGCAGCAGCTCGACCTGTTCAGCCGGTTCGACGCGGAGATCCCGGTGCCGAACGTGAACAGCCAGCGCGAGCTCGGGTTCATCCTGGAAGAGTCGCGGGCGTTCCCGAGCAGCGACCAGGTAAAGAATGCGATCGACGAGATCCAGGCCACGACAGGCGGGTCAGAGGTCGGGGTCGGAATCAAGAAGATCCTGACGGGCATCGAGACGGCCAAGCAGGACCCGCAGGACATGGGCGGGCGGTTTGCAGCAGTCATGTCGCAGGCGATTGCGGCGCGGTCGTTTGCATGAACGGAGATCGGAGATGGGAGAGAAATGGGAGGGTGGGCAATGCACGGCATGCGTGCTGCAGGGCCGTTGGGATAGAAGATAGGCAAGATCAATGGATGGCAGCGCTGGCAAACGCAGTGCAACGGCGCACCGGGTATCGGACTGACCACGCGATGCTCACATGGGCATGATTTGACAGGCCGGCGGGCGGTCGCACGGCATTGCTGCCAGGCTGAACCTGAGTGCTGGGCAACGTGCTTCTCGACACGGGTGCGCGATGCGATGAGACGGGCTGGCTGGCTGGCTGACGGACGTCTCCGCTTCATCTCCAGGCTGCGGCTTAGCGCTCGCTGCCGAGTCGGCATGGACAGTCCGTCAGCTCAGTTCGCTTGCTGCTGCTGCTGCTGCTGCAACGTCGCGAGCGTCGGCGGAGGTAACGAGGCCGGGTCGCTGCAGACCTACTACGTACCGACATGGAAACGCGGCCGTCCGGCTGGCATGGCGTACCATCCGTACTTGGGAGTCTATTGCTGCCGCGCAGGCTACCTATGCGACGCGGCGGCGGCGCTCCTATGGCGGAGTGCGGAGGGGGATCCCCAGACCAGCCGGGCGCCGTTGGGCGCGACTCTGGCGAAGGCAGCCCTGGCGCAAGGCCAGGCAAGGGGCATTGGCCGGACGAGTGCAACGGGCGGCTTGCTAGAGCGCGCATCCGCCGATAGTGGGCGCGCGCTAGTTACAGGAAGCGCGACGACGGCTCGCAGCTCACCGCCACTCAGCGCGCGGCAGTGCCTGGCTAACAGTGGACGCGGGCACGAGGGCACGCGGGCGGCGCGGGATGGGGATGGGGATGGGGGATGCAGTCACGATGATGGTGGTGATGTGGTCGGTTGGTCGGTGGTAGGTGGTGTCGAGCTCGGGCGCGGCGGCGGGGCCGGGCACACGGGCACACGGGCAGCCGGGCAGGGCATTGGCCCACCGGGTCGAGGCCACAAGGAAGGGCGCATTGGCGGGCGGTCACGCCAGAGGCAGGCGCTGCGGGCGAGCAATTGCGCGCAGGGAGCCGTGAGCACATGAGTTGCGCTGGATGCGCGGAGCAGTCAGGCAGCAGCGCTTCGGGCCTAGCCCGCGCGGATGACGCAGCGCTCGAGGGGAAATGCAAAATCATGTCAAGCCGCAGTCTGCTCCCCACTCTGCGCCTCTGCCCGAGCATTCTAGGGTTCTAGGGCTGCCCGCGGGGCCAATGGCCGCCGTCCAGGTCGCTGCTCGTCCACTGCAGGCGTCGCGACAATGACAACGCATCACCTTCTTACAGCGCAGCAGAGCAGCGCCGGCTGCACCACCCTCCACCATGCATGCGCTCGCCGCTCTGCAGCTGCGCCAGCGCGAATTGGGCCCGCCCGCCGCCCCCGCGGCCAACGCTTTTCTTCGCGCAGCCGTGGTGGACCATGATGCCGGCCATGCTTTCGCCCATGCTTTCGCCCATGCTTTGGCCCGGGCCCTTGGCGCCGCCTCAACCCTCGACCTCCACCGAAGCACCGCCTGCACCGCCTGCCATGCCCGCCCGCGAACCCCAGATCCCTCCACCCACGCCGCAGCCAGCTCTGCCCGAGCCTAGTGCCGCCCACGCCCGAGTGCGCGCTGATACGCCCGCCGCCGCCGCAGAGCCTGACTCCTGCCAGCTAGCCCCGACCACGCTTGCTGCTCTGTCTCTTTTTCGCCACTGCCCCTACCCTCCTGCCCCAAGCTCAATGCCTCCAATGCCCACTGCTCTGCGCTTGCGGCTCCCGCTGCCGCGTCTGGCCGGAGCATTGCCCCGGCCGCCGTAGGATCCTGTCCTAGCCTCGCTCTGCTGCCGGCGCTTTTCTACACGAGGCCTGATCCCCAGCACCTCTCATGTCAGAGGGAGGGATATTGCCCCGGACGCCCGCGGAACTCCCTTTCATAGGACACCCTGTAGGACTGACCATGCAGCTCTATCACAGCCCGTCCAAGCACTAAGCGGGGCCCGCATGTGTGAATGATCACGGCTCACGGATCACCCCAATCACCTTCCGCCAACCTTGTCATGGTCGTCGACGGCAGTGCAGGACGGCCGGCGGCGTGATGGTCTGGCTCTGAGCCGGGATGACCCTCCCCCCTCCGCCAGAAGGGTATAAAAAGGGGACCATTGTGTGGGTTTGACGGCTTTCTCTTGACTCTCTATTCTCCTCTCAAGCTCGCAATCTCTCCGCTTGCTGCCACTATCCCGAGCACTGTCACTTTGTACCTGTACCAACAGGAAGCAAACAGAGTCATCAATTGAACACCCAACCACCACTCTGCACCCTCATCTTCGTATCACTTTGTCCCCATCCATCCATCCAGCTGCCAACATGTCTTCCGGCTACTACTCGTACCCTGCCTACCACGCCGGTGGCTCCGCGCCCATCAGCATGCCCCACAAGAGGGGCGAGGCCTACTACCCTCCCCAGCAGACCGGTCACCATGGCCGTCTGTCTGTCTCTCCCCCTGAGCCTGCTGATTCCGTGACCACCGGCGGTCCGACTTCGTACGATCCCACTGCCACGGGATCCAGCAGCTATGCCGGCTCTGCCTCTGACTACGAGATGGGCGGGCGCGACACCGCCGCCAGCGTCGACCTTATGGACTACATGGGCGATCGCCTGAACGGAGCGTTCGATTCCACGCCTTTGGACCGCAGTCTGGCGAAGCAGGCACAAACGTATGTTCTTTCAATCCCTCGCGAGAAGATTCCGAAAACCAGAGCAGAGATCCTTTCAGCGAGCGGAAAAAGCTGACATGACGGCCGCGCAGATCGGGAGAGCTCAACGCTAAGACGCGCGAGCTGATGCAGCTGCAAGCCCTTGCGCGCGAGCGGCTGGCGGCGACGCAGAGGAACTTTGCCGACGGCATGAAGGCGGCAAAGGAAGTGCAGCGCGACCTTGAGTGGACACAGAAGCGCGTTTCGTAAGTCTTGCCCCAGCCGAAGGGGGAGCGGGATTGAGCGGGAACTGACTGGGGGGAAACAGGTCCATCAACCAGCGCGCTGCCCGCAAATACCCCGACCAGTACAAGAGGGCGTCGGAGCGCTACCCCGCTCCCGTCGACTACTGAGCATTCGCGGATTTTGCCTGTTTCCTATATCCTTCGCCTTTCACCACCAATAGACCGGGAACCTCGATACAACAAAAAGTAGCGCTGCTGTCGTTTTCGACAACCTCCCCTGTACAAACACCACAAGCTTCCAACTCGACGACATAACGACGATACCACGACGGCAATTGCCTTCAGATTCGCATTCACACTTCTTTCCCGTTGTCCGCGCACTGTGAGCGACGACGCGACGTCCGCCTTACGCTCAGGGACGCTCCGGCAGTCCCTGCATGAGGCGGCCTCACTCCCGACCGATCGGACGGGATCCACGTTGCATGCGCACAGCAGCGGGGGCGACAGCCATGGCGCGGCGGCGGTGGATTCGAGGGGGCGCGGTTGCGTGGCTCTCTCTGGTTGTCAGCCCTACACGTCCGCACCCTGTCGCTTTTTCTGCACGAGACGTCACAGCGGCTCGGTCCGCGCCCCCCTCGGGTTTCTGCACGGCACGCTCCACAATCACACGGCACGTTTCTTCTCTTTTGACGCGCAGGCGCACAAGCCAGCTCTTCCTCCCGCCGACCCAGAACCAGACCCCGCATGAGCTGCGGGCATTGCTTTTTCCTGTCCCGCGCGGCTGGAGGGCACTCCAGTTCTGGACCGGTCTGGGGTCAACGCCCCCACGTTTCTGGACGTGTCCGGGAGCAGAGCGGCGGCCAACACCCTTCTTGTTTTCGCCTGCGCGTAGTAGTGGCTGCGATGGACCAAGTGTCATTTCTTCCCCCCCATTTCCCGTTTCGTCTTGAATCTTGGCGGCAGACTGAATTTGACCACGGCATTTTTCCTTACATCTGGTGGCTCTCTTGTCTTTCCATACTGTACCTTTCAGTTCGACTGGTTCCGGGAACGGCTTTCTCCGTGCTCTCATCCCGCTTTCTTCCTTGGCTTCGCCCGGAAAACGGTCTGCTTGCTTACTATTCCGTACTCTATACCATTGAATTTGTTATGCCCGTTTCCGCTTTCCCCCCGTTGGAGGGAAGTGAGTGAGTGATGACTGGCTGCCCTCCTTGCTTCACCCTTGCATCATGCACGTGCGGCAGCACTGAGGGCGGGGTGACTTGTTGCTTATTATGCAGAGAGAGTGGGGGGAGGGGGGGTTTCCTCTCCTCTTACCTTACCTTGGGGCGCTCGACCCCGGTCTCTGGGTCTTTGAATGGTTGAACGGAGGGCTGGGCGCCCAACCAGCAGCTTTCCGCTGACCGACTAGGTAAGGTGAATGGCCGCTTTGTTTAGACTAGGCCGGGGGAGGACGAGGATCAAACCAGAATGCCCGTCTACCCGTTCCACCTGGGGGCGTGGCTTTCTTCTCCCTTCCTCTCTCTCTCTCTCTCTCTCCGTCCGTTCCTTTGATTACCCCTCACTCCGAATGCCTACCCACCCATCGGGTCGAGGTGGTTGCACACAAATCCCCCGGGGTTCCACCACGATGGTAGCACAGGCGTTTGATGAATCAATCCCTCGCCGCCCCCAACACCCCCTTCAGTGCAACAGTGCTCCAATCGAGGTTTTCCCCTTCTGGGTAATAGGAATTTCCCGATCGAGTGGAGGGGAGGGGGCATGCCAATGCGCGCATGGGCGGCAGGTAATGTGACTGCGACGCCATGTGTGTGATGCGTCATGGTGCTGCAAGGATGTGGGTGTGATCTGCCTTGCATATTGTATCTGGCCGGCACCCACCCTCGGCCCCGGCCCTCTCTGCTCGCTCTCCACTGATTCGTGCGTCCGTTTGGGCACGGAGCCGGTTTGATTCGAGCTCGGGCGCCGCATGCGCGCGGGCATCGGACTAGGATCGGTGGGGGGGGAAAAGTCGTGCTTACTCGATGGGGCAGGTTTGGGCGTTGTCTTGTGCGGGTGACCGGGAGGGGTTTGCGCGGGCGGGGGGTCCGGACATGGGCCGGGATTGCGGCGGCATGTGGTCGGGTTGGTGTGTGGGGTTCGTTGCGTGTGGGTGGCTGGGTCGGTGGTGGGTGTGAGGAGTGCGTGTGTGGGTGGTGGTGTCTCGCGCTTTTTTGGGACTGATTCCGCTGTGGATGCGGCGCGTCATCACGTGTGTGTGCGTGTGTGTGTAGGGTGGGTTGTTCTACCTCGGCGTTTGATTCTATGGGAAACGCGGGTACCACATTATAGGGTCCCAGAAGAAAGGGCGAGTAATTCTCTGTACCTGCGATTGTCAGACTCTGGGCTTATCAACTACGCAATCGCAAAAAGGTGCTGAATCGAGATATTATGAGTTTGGAAAGCGAGAAGAATATTTATAACAGAACAGTCACATTCTTGCGTTTTCACTAGAGCGGTTCGCTCAATATTTTCATAGCAGAGTCGCTTCTGAAAAGCTGTCAATAGTGCTGCGGTAGTCGTCCTTTTTCTATCTTTCTAGATGTGGCGCACAATTGTTTCATTATAGAGCGCCGTGCTCTTTCTGAAGGACATGTTAAGGGCATGCTGCCCTCGACTCAGGCTGGTCGCTGGGACATCTTCTTGCCTCTTTTCAGGTCTAATCCATTTAGACCTTGAGCAATGACTATCCGAATCCCAGAGTGAGCAACTATAAGCCAATAAAATGACTTTTTTGGGGGGCTAGTCGGCAGGCTTCCGCTAACGGTAACGACAGTCATATTGGGGAGGTTCTATCAAGGTCCTGGAATTCATTGCGCGGATTCGGGTGTAACGGATTCATATTGAACGATCAGCTACACTTAGTAAGATATTGGTATTCCAGGTAGCCACGGCGAAAGTTCCATCGATCTCTTTCTCTCTCTTTCACCTTTCTTTTTATTCTTCAAGTTTTGGCTGATCATGAAGCCATTGACCCATTGACCGGATATAGGGTATCCAAAAGGATAAAAGTCATCTGGACTCTACAAGTAGCCGGTGTACCTATTCCTCAGGGACTGCTGCTTACTCGATATGTAGAAGCGAGCCATTTGAGCACGAGCCGCGATAATTTACAAATGGTGGTTCTCTCCTTCTCTGAGGATCGGCTGTTGAAGTCGTGCCTTTGATGACCCGTCCACTTTCTGGGGGCGCGGCGGCCGTGCAAGTGGAAGACGAAGCTTTTGGATCGGTTGAGCACTGCAATGGCAATCAAATTGGTACTGTTCAAGAGCAGCGTCGGGCGCAACTCTCTGGGCTGTCCTTGGGCGTAATGGAGTGAGTGGGAAGGTTTCCTACTCGAACAGCCAATCTCGATCAGGATTGGCTAGACAACAATCTGCTCCACGGATCTTCAATGAAACTCGGCAGAAAGTAGGCAACATCGCCGGTGGCCGTCCTCTCATAGTCTGCCGGTTGAGTCGAGTCAGCAGGAAGGGTGGAAGTTTCCTTTGGGATCTCGGTAGGGCGAGCTGGCGGCGGGGGTGGTACGGGAAGTGATTGGCCGTAGGCGAGGAAGTCGGCTAGACCAGCGCTAGCTGGAGCCTGTTGATCCTTCTTCATCTTTTTCCAATACTTCCTGGCCTCGCTCGCCTTCATGCCTGCGGTCGGGTCGGCGGCACTCGCAGCATCTGATGCAGGATCCTGATTCGCCGAGGTGGCAGCGAGCGGTGTAGGCGTCGCGTCTGCACCTGCAGGGCCTCCAACGTGCTGAGCGGAGGAGCTTGCGCCGGACGGCTCAGGCTGGTCATCGGGCGTGGCGCTGTTGCTGCTCTTGCGGCGGGGACCCATGGGCACCGAGTTGCTGCCAGACGCGTCAGGGTTGAAGGAATTGGCATTGAGCTCAGTGAAAGCCTCGTCGACTCTGCGCTTCCTGGTGGGGCCGTTGCCGGCACCGAATCCGGTGAGACCCAGCGTCGCGTACAAGGCGCGGTCGGGATCCATGCTCGTCTCAGGCGCGGTGGACACGGTTGCGCTTGCGCGTTGGCCGGGAGAAAGTGAAAGGTTTTTTTGCGGCGGGCGGGCTCGTCGCACCACGACACAGGCTCGCGGCGAGGCTGTTGTGCAGCGCGGCGTGGAGCGGCACACAAAGGGCGGGCAGGTGCAGAGGAAGGGCGCAGGCGCAGTTGCAGTTGCAGTTGCGGTTGCAGTCTTGGCCGGGTGGTGTTCTGGCGGTACCAGCGGCGGCGGCAAATCGGGCCAAACACCAGGGCAAGAGCGGCAAGAGCAAGCTAGAGCCCAAGCTCCCGCGTCAGCTGGAGGTCGATGATGATCCCGCCCACATGCCAACGCGCCTGACACCACGCTCAGAGTTCCACATTTTCGCCCGCTCCCTTCCCCGCAGACATGCGAACTCTGCAACACCACGCCTGCCGCCGACGTCTGCCGCCTGCGTAGCTACCATGAACGGCGACTCCCAGTCGCAGTCGCAGTCGCATTCACAGCCCTCCGTCTCTGCTCGCCGCTTCCTGCGCCCCAAGGTTCGTTCCACTCAGCGCCTTGTCGCCCCCCGCCTCCGCGTCTGCCGCTGATCTGTCGAGTTCCAGCTCCGTCAAGCCACCTTGATCCTGCCCAAGACCGGCGAGCGCGTCCGCCGCACCTTCACCCTCCGTTCCCCGGACCCCGAGTCCGCCGACGATGCCAATGACACCACCCCGTTGCTCGGCGGCAATGCTGCCGCGCGTGCGAGACACCAGGGCCCCGTGGCCAGGACGCTGGGGAAGGCTCGCAATGGGTCCAAGAAGGCGTACAGCTTCGTAACCTCGCCCCTGGGCATCAATTTGCTGAAATGCTCCATCGCCTACGTGCTGGGGAGCTTGGCCACCTTCGTCCCCGTCCTGTCCAACTTCCTGGGCCGCAATGACGGCAAGCACATGGTCGCTACCATCACCGTCTACTTCCACCCGGCTCGCTCTGCCGGCAGCATGATCGAGGCTTTCCTGCTAGCAATCATGGCCTTTCTCTATGCCACGGCCATATCCTTCGCCAGCATGGGTGTTTCCATGGCCTTTGCCGAAGCCCACTTGCTTGTCATCGGCCATGCCATCGTGCTTATCATCTTCTGCGGTGGTGGCTTGGGCCTTATTGGTTGGGTCAAGCAGAGACTGGGAAACCCATTGGTCAACGTGGCTTGTTCCCTAGCCTCGCTCGCCCTCATCACCGTTCTCACCAAGGAAGGTGCCGTGCAGGCCGCGACGTTCTCGTACAACAAGATTGTCCAGGTCTTGAAGATGGTCTTCATGGGAATCACAGCGACCACTGCCGTCAGCTTGATCATCAATCCCGTGTCTGCCAGGAACAATTTACGGAACGATATGCGTAAGGCAACCGATGTCCTTAGCGACATGCTCACTACCATCACACACAGCTTCTTACTTGGTGCTGAGGAGGAGCTGAAGCAACCCGAGTATATCCAGGCCTTGAGCAAATTCAAATCCACATTCAGCTCAATGACCAAAAATCTTGGGGAGGCCAAAATGGAGCACTACGTCCTGGGCACTGAGAATCAATACCACACCGAGACTCGCCTGGTCAAGTGTATGGAACGGCTTGCTCGGAATATTGGAGGCCTCCGTGGGGCCGCACTTACCCAATTTTCTCTGATCTCGAAGCCGCTAGGCGACGGCACATCTCCTAGCATGACCAGGAATAACTCCATCGAGGCTTTGTCGCGTGTCAACTCTGGCGACTTCGCGTCGTATTTCAACAGGCAGCCTAGCCATTCCAACCTGAGCAGTGTCTCTGCCAGTGGCCTCGCAGCCATTGAAGAGGCAGGCGAAGAGAATAGTGACGCAGGCAGCCGTGCGCTTTCCCCCACGACAACTCCAGGTGCCATCAGCGCGATTGCCACTGCAGAAACGCCCGCAGACATCTTCACCATGTTCATTTCTTATCTCGGACCCTCTCTGAAGTCTCTAGCTTTCACTTTGAAAGAAGTGCTTGACGAACTGCCTTATGGCCCTGCTCCAGACTATACTATCGCGGTCAACAGCAACTTCCGCAGTAGTCTGGTGCAAGCCAGAGACCTCTTTGTCAAGGCGAGAACAGAAGCACTTGATGCCGTGTACGACAACCGCGGCTTGAGCAAGTCCAAGCCGATCGAGGTCCTTGCCGACTATGAGGAAGTTGCTGCTAGCTGTGGTTATTTCAGCTCTGCTCTGCAGGATTGTGCTGAAGAAATGGTAGTGTACCTGGATGTTCTGGAAGAGCTGAAACAGGACGTCGAGCGCAGTCCCCGAAAGCGAACCTGGAACTGGCTCAAATTCTGGTGCATGCAAAAGATTAGCGGTAGTGACGAGAGCAGGCCTGGTATGTGGACTGTTACGCATTCTACTCGGCAATCATACTAATTGGCCAACAGACACGCCCGATTTCAAGAATCAGAACAACGCAGGAGGCCTATCTCAAGACGTTCAGATATCCAGGCGCCCGAGTCACCCCGCTCAAGCTGCCAAGATGCCTCGCAGAAAAGCTCGTTTGCTATATCGTATCTATCGCTCTTCTGCTTTCCTTAGACGGGAAGATATCAAGTACGCCATCAAAGTTGCTATTGGAGCCATACTATACGCCATGTGGTCCTTCATCCCCGAAACGCGGCCAACCTACAGCCACTGGCGCGGTGAGTGGGGTCTGCTGTCCTACATGCTGGTGTGCTCCATGACAATTGGAGCGTCGAATACAACCGGTTACCAGCGTTTTTCAGGTACTTGCCTTGGCGCTGTGTTCGCCATTGTTTCTTGGCTCGCGGCTCAGGAGAACCCGTTCGTCCTGGGATTCTTTGGCTGGGCAGTCTCACTTCTTTGCTTTTACATCATCGTTGGAAAAGGGAAGGGTCCCATGGGTCGTTTCATTCTCCTGACGTACAACCTGTCTGCACTTTACGCCTACTCCCTGTCCGTCAAAGACGATGAAGACGACGACGATGAGGGTGGGGCAAGTCCGGAGATTTTTGAGATTGCAAAGCACCGTGTCGTCGCTGTCATGGTGGGATGTCTCTGGGGTATCGTCATCACCCGGCTCGTTTGGCCTATTAGTGCTAGGCAGAAGATCAAGGACGGGATCTGTGTTCTCTGGCTACGCATGGCGTTGATCTGGAAGCGAGACCCTTTGTCGATGCTCCTTGATGGTGTTTCTGCCTCCTCTCTTGCCGACATCAGGGAGTCGATCAAGCTCCAGCGTTTCTTGAACCATTTGGAGGCTCTTCGCAAGGCGGCAGCCTCGGAGTTTGAGATGAGCGGTCCGTTCCCAAGCAAGGTGTATGGCAACCTTTTCCAGACGACTGGACGGATATTGGATGCGTTCCACGCGGTGAACGTGGTCATCTCTAAGGATCTTAAAGCATCTCCGGGCGAGCAGGCGCTGCTTAGGTACACGAGGGATGAGCGCACCCAGCTGTCGTCGCGTATCAGCCATTTGTTCTCAGGTAAGCCGGATTTCTCCATGAGTTCTCGAAGTTGCTAACGAGAGCATCAGTCATGGCTTCGTCCATGAAGCTGGAATACCCGTTGAACGATGCTCTGCCGAACATAGAGCACACGCGCGATCGCTTGCTAGCTAGGATATTCGACTTCCGAAAGAACGGAGACCCGGATGACATTGCAACGGATGATGACTACGAGCTGCTCTACGCGTACGGTAAGTTTGGAGCGCGGAGCGGTGCATACATGGAGGGCTTCGCTAACCACCATGTCCTCGCAGCGCTGGTTACCGGACAAATCGCAGACGATATTGCGTCTTTGGGACAAGACATCGAGCAGCTGTACGGGGTGCTGAACGAAGAGAATCTCAAACTTCAGTAAGGGTAGGCCGGCGCTTTCGGAAAAATGTCCGTACTTTGACTGGACGAACGCATTGTTGGTCACTTGAAAATTCGCGTACAATACCACGTATTTACCACTACCACGTTCTTCCACAAATGACGCTTGCTTCCTCCCTGTGCATGAAGCTGCCGCGGCACGATGGTCGGCCAAGCGGCAAGTCGGGATGACATCATCCACAACCGAAGGCGTGCTTCCATTCCAGTCATCGACAGCTGCTCCCACTTGAAGCTTCCAACGTCTACTTGCTTTCTGGACTGTTCAAAGCCATGTCTTCTGCTTCTTCTCCTTCCTTCGATCCCACCAAGATCCGCGCCCTGCTCTTCGACGTCTTCGGCACGTGCGTCGACTGGCGCTCGACGGTGACGACGGCGCTGCACGACCAGGCGCGTACCACGCTCAGCGACCCCACCGCCTCGCTCGCCACGGCGGTCCGCCTGCGCGCGACGGACCTCACGTGGGACGACTGGGCCCGCTTCGCACAAGAGTGGCGCAACGAGTACAAGACGTTCGTGCGCGGCGCCGCGAAGGCGCTCGAAGAGTCTGAGAAGCAGGAGCAGGAGAAGAAGGCGAAGAGCAGTCGATCCGGAGAGGAGGAGGAGGGGGAGGCGGCGGCAGCAGCAGCAGCAGCGTCAAGAACAGGCCTCCCCTCGTTCAAGACGGTCGACCAACACCACCTCGACTCCCTCACCGACCTGCTCGACCGCTGGCACCTCGCCGGCCTCTGGACGCCCCACCAGGTCCGCCGCCTCAGCCTCGCGTGGCACTACCTCGCGCCCTGGCCCGACGCCCCCACCGGCATCCAGGCGCTAAACGCCATCCCCGTCCCCGTGGCTACCGGCGGCAGCAGTACGAACCTCATCACCGCGACCCTGAGCAACGGCAACGCCGCCCTGCTCGCCGACCTCGCCCGCCACGCCCGCCTGCCCTTCACCCACGTCTTCAGCGCCCACGACGACTTCGCCGCGTACAAGCCGCACCCGCGCACGTACCTGGGCGCGGCCGCCCGGTTGGGGCTACGGCCGGACGAGTGCGCGCTCGTGGCGGCGCATCTAGGCGATTTGGAGGCGGCCGCGGCGTGTGGGTTGGCGACGGTTTATGTGGAGAGGGCGGCGGAGGAGGATTGGGGGGGGGGGGGGGGGGGGGGGGGGGGGGGGGGGGGGGGGGGGGGGGGGGGGGGGGGGGGGGGGGGGGGGGGGGGGGGGGGGGGGGGGGGGGGGGGGGGGGGGGGGGGGGGGGGGGGGGGGGGGGGGGGGGGGGGGGGGGGGGGGGGGGGTTTGCGAGGGTGGCGGAGGTGTTTGGTGGTGGTGGTGGTGGTGGTGGTGGTGGTGCCGCTGCTGCCGCTGCTGCTGGGGAAGGGAGGGGTGGGGAGTGAGGTGAGTTGGGGAGTGAAGTGAGTGAGATAGGAAACGGGTGGCTAGAATAGGGATAGAAGCGAGTGGGTGAGACGGAGAGGTTTTAATTGAGCCGAGAAGTAATCAGGTTCATTGGGGGTTCGTTCCGGCTCCCTTCACCGGTCTTCTCTTCTTGCCCTTTGGACGTTTCAGTAATAACAGGGCCCGTGAATTTACCGTTATATTATTTTCTCCAAATGCGTAATACTCTACTTTCTACTACCATCTCACGAAGTAATATGACTCGAACTTCTAACGGCCTAGTCTCTACCGGTCGCATCTCTCGACCGAGTAAAAGGATAAAGGAGTGGATTTTAAACATCGAGGACGCCGCACATAGTAGATACTCGAAATAGAACGCCCAATTGGGCTTAGTCTACCTCACTCATTTATAGTCTCCTCCGAAGTGTTAGCCCTTTAGAGGAGTCAATCCATTAAATTCAAACAGTGGACAGCACGAGCAAATGAAGAACCGCTTGGACGCCTTTCGCGCTATTCATCGATCTTAGAATTTCGAGAAAACGACGCATAAAGTTTCAATTGCTAAGCTTCCAAGATCTCACTAGCACTCACATATCAATTGCATCATTCCACTCCGTCTGAAACTTATTTCAAAATCCGTATCTCCAATAAGTTTACCCATTACAGATATTGAAACCTCTTCTCAAGCCCCGTCACTGATAGTCATCTTCATATTGCTTACAGAGAATATCTAATTCCCTTGTCCCTGAGCGGAACCACGTCGACCTCTTCTCCATCTGCTCGCAGACTCAGGCTAAATGCATCCTTGTCTCCCCCTGGGTAGATCTCGTCTTAACAAGCTTTCCGCCCTGGTAGACTCCATACAGTCTCGTTGGTAAGTTTTTGACCCATCCACCGCGTGCGGTCCATTTCGGTCAGGATGGAATGCTGCAAGGAGGACCGGCTGATGTTGGGAAAGACCCCGAACCCATGCCCCTTGGAATTGACCAAGTTGCCGCTCTGGCGTGTCAGGTACCAATACCCTCACACCCACGGCGCAGCATCTTGTGGATCAGCTGCTTCAGGAGCATCTTGAAGACGGAACGCAGAGCCGGCATGCGATGGTAGTGGGCTGCACCGCGAGATTGTGGAAGTGGCGGAGGTGGCCGGCTCAGGCTGCAGCTGAGAGCTTGGAGAATTTGGGAAGGATGTTGCAGCGAAGTTCCGAAGGGAATGACGATCCTGGTTTGGATAGAGGAATACAGCCGGGATCGTCGCTTTTGGAGTGAGTGGTCATGGTTGCAGTTTGGGAAGTCGTGGTCGTCTTGGTACCAAATGACCCTTTCCTTTTTTGGACTTTTTTTTTTTAAAAAAAAAAGAAAAGAAATACTCCAGGGAAGATGGTCTTAGTAGCCCATCGATGCACGAAGATGCAAGCCTCTTTCATTTACAATAGACACATCGACGACTGACCTGTACTCGGCCATATGTATGGCAAGACCGATCTGATGTCGGTACAATAGCGAGGCTCATAGGGTCGGTGCATTGGAGTGGGGACTCGGCCTTGTGAGTCAGCATTGCCACTACTAACAACCTCGGTCTTTCAGGGTGTACCACTCTTCATCAGATCCGCAGCATCATTCGCCTTGTGCGGCTTACACGTCATTCAGCAAATGCATGCCTAGTGTCTATTCTGGGAAAGTGCCGCGGCCAACGCGTTTCCTCTTGGCATGTTCAATGCCAAGACCCATGGCGACTGATATCTCGACATCAGGTGCAGAAACTGGTAGACCTGATCCATGAAACACCGTCATGAAGAAGCCGACTCGCACGTAGCTAAGAGTAGAATGGCAATTGAGGCGGAATCAAGGACTGGACACGAGGCCTCTGAAACCGAGTAGACATGGTTAAGATGCGAGTTGAAGGTCTGGATTGCCTGAGGACGGAGCACAGGGTAAGTCTGATGGTTTCGAGATGGTGATTGATCAGCATACATGCAGCTGCGGGCCGTCGGCGCTTCTGCATCCGAAGCGACTCGGGGCGGAGACGTAAACGGGGTCGGAAGCCGTGGTGTATGTGAAAATTCAGTCCAGAGCGGGCACTGGATTCTGGCCGCTAGGGCCCGCACAATGCCCTCGGGTAATCTCTAGGCATTATTTATCCCCTACACTTGGGGCTTATCCGTAGGGCGGAGCGCTAGCGGCGGAAGTGGGCCAGCTTTTCCGGCGGCGGAAACGGACAGGGCGACACCACGGTGGAGTGCCGCTGCCGCGCGGCAAATCGAGGCAGAGACCCGAGGCAGAGACCTGGAGCCCTTCGTCCCGTGGATCAGGCTGGCGTACGCCCGTATTTTTGCGTCTGCAAGCCTAAATTGACGGGACTTCGGCCTCCAAAGTTATGGGCCCGGGTGGAAGAAGCCAAGGCCTCAAGCCACGAACACGCGGGCCACTAGTAGCACTTGGTCGTGAGCCGGCCGACGATCGCGGCGGAAGCGCATTATTCTGTTGGCTGGGCTGCGGCCGTGTTGGGGTTGCTAAGCGCGTTATATGGGTGTGCGCACGAGAAGACTTTAGCCTCTGCTGCCACGCGACTGGGCATTGCGTCGACGACTGTCAGGCGGCTGGTCTAGACTGATTGATGAGTGATGGCGCTGGGGAGTCGCAGTAAGGGGCTTGCCTGCCTGGCTGCCCGCCTGCCCGCCTGCCCTTTGCCTGCCCGCCCTTTGCCTGCTCCCGCGCCGTGCTGCCTCCTGCTGGCCCCGGCGATGCTGGTTGCCTGGCGCGAGCGTAGCGCCATTTGCCGACCGTCAAAAAGGCGCAGCGCGGCCGGCGTGAACCGTGGAGCCCGAGCAGACGATGAGGAGCACAGAAGAGGCAGAGCGACGTTGTTCGAGACGAGGGCGGCATCCTCCGGCGGTCGGCTCGCGGTGGCCACACGCACACTGCCGCCAGCTGCCGAGATCGCAGGCGGCATGCAGAGGGATCCGTGGTTGGGGCTGGGGTTCGGCTTGGGTTGGGCTTGGGATCTGAAAAAGCAAGCCGGGCGCGGATCGCATCGAGACTGCGGGAGGTCTGCGAGCGAACCGCTCGATCCCTGGGCCACTGGCTGCCCGCGGGCGACGTGGCTGCCCTAGGCCTCGTGGAAGCAGGCATCTCACAGCCCGTCCCGCCGCACGCCTGGGATCACCCTCGCACCCGTTGCCTCACCACCATGGCCGCCGGCAGCCGCCGCTGAACCATTGCCTCGACCTAGCCCCGCACTCGCTGGCCTAACGCCTCTGCCGTCCGCGCTCCGACTCACGCCAACGCAGCCAACGGAGCCAACGCAGCCAACGGAGCCAACGCAGCCAGCGGAGCCAGCGGCGCCAACGGAGCCCGCGAGGCCCAGAGCCTGCGCCGCGTCGAACATTCCACGCCGGGCTGATCGCCATTCCAGAAGTCAGGAGGAACAAAAGGAGCTCATCCCGATCACCGGCGTCATCTAGGAGTTTGGTCCGCTCCGCACCGCATCCTGGCCGCTGGCCGCCGGCCGCTGGCTGCTGGCTGCTGGCTGCTGACTCCTCTGGCCGCCGTCTAGCTCGATGCGTGCGCTGCTCGTCCAGCCTCGTCCTGCCTCGCGCTGATCCCGGCTTCCCTCCTGCCGCCACTTCCACGTGGTGACGGGAACAACGATATTGGAAATCACGATCGCAATCTGCCCGGGCTGCTCCTTCTCCTTTCCGTCTGGCGCCGCAGACGCAGCCTTCATCTATGACCGAATCCCACTGCGCCCACGCCCCACACGCCAATCACCTGGCGCAGCACCTTTGCTTTTTCCCGGTCTTGTGCTTAAGCTTCCCGGGGTGATATGCGTGAAGACCGTTGGCGAAGCTGCACGGAAAGCCGGCGCGGAAGTATCGCATGCGCGCAAACAAGCATCCCACGCGGCTGGCGCCTCCTCCTGCGGCCCTCGCCCCGCTCCGCGAGCACCGCTCTTCCCGCCGGCCGCAATCCGTCTCTGCTTCATCACCCATACACCTAGCGTATGCTCCACATGGCTAGTATGGGAGGAATGCGCCGCGAATGAATGCCACCGCCAACATGGGATGGAAGGGCCGGGCCCGACCCGAACCGTACGGCTGCCGCATGCGGAAAGAAGAGTGCAGCGGCATATCAATTCCCTGCTGTTGCAATAATCAAGCCTGCTGTGGGAGCCGTCGATTGTCCTTCCCCCCTGCTGTCTCTTCTGACCTCAGTCCGCCTTGTCTACTATATTGCACGCCGAAGCGCGTCATGTCAGCATGCGGGCAGCACGCCGTGGGTGATCTGATCGACCACCAAGCCCATTGGCCTCGACCAGTAAGTGAGCGCCACAGTGCACCGCACGATGCCAATGTCGAAGCGCGCGCGGCTCCGTAGTCCACCACATCCTTCAGTCGAAAATACCAACGAGCTTTCCGCCATCCTACGGTCGTATTCCACGGCAAGCCACTTCAGGCCCCTTTCCCCATCTCTCTCCCCCGTCGTCGACTTCGCTCTTCTCCATCACTGCTGCCAAGCCTAAGATCAACAGCTAGACAAAATGCCCATCGGCACGACGGATCCAAAACTTGTTCGCGCTTGGGCCGGCGCCACTTGCAAGCCACAAGAGAAGGGAGCAGAAAAGAAACTAACCAGGGTCCTGCACAGACCTTGGACTTTGCCTGCCCGCCCGCCATACATAGCATCTTCCGCAAGGCTGTAGAAGCATCGGGTCTTTTGCGTATCGTACCCGAAAGCGAGACACCCGACGGTCAATGTCCGCTAGCGCAAAAGGGAAGTGCGGCAACTGCGGCAGTAGTGACGAGTCTATCGAACAAAAGAAGTTTGAGGAAGAAAAATAGCACACCATCCCGGGGCCCACGGCAACGCTTCGTGCGGGCGTTATCTCGCGCCGGTTTCACAGCAGAAGGTGGAGAGTGGTGGTGCAGGGCAATCGCTTCTCTACTCGCCCTTTCTCTCTCTCTTTCCCTCTGCCCTCCCCTGCTCCCTCTCTTTCTCCA